GTTAAAACAGGATAAATAAATGCATAAAGGGGACATCTAATTCCCCGTCTCTGATTCATGTCTCTCTTCACTTTCAAGCGGCGTATGTTTCCAGCTGATATTTCCCTGAGCCAGACCTTCAAGAGACCCACTTTGTAAAGAAAAAAAGAAGCAGAGAAAATAGTTGAGAGTGTAAGACCAGAAGTGAGAGAGCTGGAGAAAGTGTTGAGATAAATGTTGCAGCGGTCAATTAAAATGACTTAGTGCCACGTAGAGCCTTTCACCTGAGCAGCCTCTGATGATGCACGATGAAGAGGCAAATACGATGTCATCTCTAAGGGGACTCTCAGCGATACGGCGATGCAGTCAGCATGTGGGAGATTACACACATACTGTATGCTTCGCCTCTCTGCTAGGAGTCAGCTGACGAGCCCTCACAGTTCTACCATGTGTTCTAAAAATGGGTGGAATTAGTTGAAATATTATCAGTGTTTACTGAGATCAGCTGACTGGGTAACCACAGGGAGAGAGACGGCGACCTGCGAAATGCACGAGGTTCTTCAGCCTGTTGTCCTGACTGAATTTACGACTAAGCGTCATTCCTAAGTTTAAAGGCTGACTGCTTAAAACTTCCATGATTTGTATGTGGCGATACATCAGCAGGTCTCTAACATGCAAGGAACGTCGGACCCCTGCAAGTTTACAGGTCCTAAAGTGGAGTTAGGACCACACATGCATTCAAACGCTGACACGTAGTGAATGTGACTGCATGATTACAGTCATGGCCTTAAAAGCCCTTCAGGTGCTAAATCAACGGTGCTTGACTCAATGAATCAGATAATACAAAGACCGTATTGTATTCTTCCAAACAAAGTCAAGAAAAAGCCCAAGACACCTGGAACAGTTCAGCTGATTCATTTGTTCTTCTGACTGTAAAAAGGAATCCAACAATGTGGTTCTTTCACTTTTTGGACACAGACTGAGAGCCAAAAAGCAGGGGTTTCATGGAGGGGGGGGGGGGGGGGGGTCATCTGGTTGAAATGTCTGAAAGGCCTTCAGTTCAAGATCAGTAAAGAGTCTCCATGCTGAGGAATCTGAAAAGATGATTCTGCCAGGAGCCACACAGAGGTCTTACTCAAATCAAGCCTTATTCGCTCCAGAGGGATAATCGCTACGGCATTCAGTGCTGGGGGGCCCCGTTTTGTGCCAATGCAGGAAGTGGGCAGCGTGGCGTAGTTTATGTCCTGTGACAGTGATTTAGTTGTCCTAACTGAGACATATGTTAAACGTAGATTATACGCCGTCATTGGAAGTAATGAAACAGAAAACACGCCGACGTTTGGACGCAAAAGAAAATGGTCGCTGTACGTGATGTGGAGCCCGTGTCAGTGTTTCATGCCCTCTCCCCTTTATTGGCCTTACACAACAGGGCATTGTCTCCATGTGCTTAGTTAAGATAAGATCCAAACCGCTGCGTCACGCAATACCCATGTCAGCATTAGAAATGCGTGCATTTTCAATAGTGTCGATATGTTTTTATCAAAACTGTTGTTTTCATCATGAGCACTTTGACGTTGTATTATATTGTGGGCGGTTTTAGAAGAGGTTTGCAAGCTTTTACACTGTGAATGAAGTCATTGACCAAACATATTTAAAACATACTGGCATGTCTAAACCAAAACAGAAACTATTACTCCTTTGCTCCTAGACAATGGTTAACTTATTTAACATTTTTCTTGCTGATAGATACTTAGTCAGAAGTTTGCAACTTCAGCACTAGGAGATAATTCTCTCACATGGACTGTAATCACATGATCACATTTCTTTTTTTAAACTAGTAGTGCTTGGTTGTGTTTACCAGGAGTACACAGACCAGAGGCTGCATTGTGGGAGGATAGCTGTGGCGCCTTCAACCCACCTCAGCACCTCATTACTTCTTTCATTCACATCGTCATCATCACACCAGGTTTAATTAACTACAAGCTGCTGTTGAAAGCGTCGGACTAAAATTAAATTAGAAGGTGATGACATAAGTTTTGTCAACAACACCAGTATTCACTTAAATCAGCCTTTAGTTATTAGTTTAGTCTGCGTGGATCTCCATGAAGTTATTGGGAGCATATTACTGCATAAAAGGCCTCTGCTGAAGCTGACTTCTGGGAAAATATTTAAAAAAGAAAAGGGGAAAGAATGACTGAGTCAAAACCACTCTTTCCATACAAGAAAATACACATTGCCCCCACAAAGACACACACACACACACACACAGTAACACATGTTCTAATCATAGTGCAATCATTTATTTATTTCCCAGCTCTGTGTGTTTTCTTTTTTTTCCTGGCAGATGAGACGGGAAGAGAAAAAAAAGACGATCCCTTTAATTAATGAAAATCTTTGGACGAGCCAAACCGCCACGTGTGTGTGTGTGTGTGTGTGTGTGTGTGTGTGTGTGTGTGTGTGTGGTTCTCTTTAAAGAGCTCCGCTGTGTACGGAGGGTTAGAACGGCAACGTGTGACTGACTCATCGCAGCATGGATAAAGTTTCTTTTATCATGCCGTCAGGCTTCACACACATGAATGGGACCAAAGTCCAGTGTTTGAAGAGCAATCACACCTGATTGAAGTCGCCCTCTGTGCAGCCAAACCGTATCGTCGTCAGGCTAATCAATGCGTTCCCCTCTATTAAAACACTCATCTGTATTAGTGTCAAAGCTCTCCCTCTGTCCCTCCTTGTTTCATTCACGCTTATAATGCAGCTTATTTCCCGTCAGACCCTGACGAGTAACTCTGGAGTGCGTTTATGTTTTCGAGTGTTGCCATGACGATGAAAGAATGAATGGGAAGTGCTCCACGTGACAAACCAAATGTCACTTGGTAACTGGGTGAGTAATGGGTTTCTTTCTTAGTAAAGTAACAAATGAAATGTTTTGAAGACACACACACACACAAAAAAAGGCCGGCATTCGTCCTTTGTGGCACATTAATAAAAACCATATCCGACGTTCTACAGTAGTCCAGGTCCAGCAGCTACTGCAGGAATGTGTGTGGGAGTAGCCGTTGTCAAAGCAACGCCTCTCCTGTTTGGAAGTTACTAAGACTTTCAGGATTCAGCTTTTTGATGACCGTAAGGAAAGAAAAGCTGTGAGGGGAAAGAAAACCGACAAGAGCTGGTGGTTGTTTCTTATTCTCTCTCTCTCTCTACCTCTCTCTCTCTCTCTCTCTCCAGGTTCACCCTCATGCGCACACAGATTATACGGCCCTCATAAACACACTTTTTTAGACTTCCCCATTCAGACCAGGGAGTTCTCATACGCGTCTGCAGTTATAGCTATAAAAAGTAATGCCCTAAATAAGTTTATAACACACAGAGGAGTTCGGGTCGGATGGGTTTGTCCTCTCATGGGTTTGAGATGTACGGTACACAACGCGTATATCTAACTAACGGTGGCGCAATGAATCTATTCAGACACGTGCACATGGACACGTTGACTTAGCAGCTGGTATCACCTCAGTCCAGTGTACTCCAGTCACATGGTACATTAAATCAACATTCTGTCAGTGCATTATTACCCAACAACTGAGCCTAATAATGAGAACTACGCACACATTATAAAAGGGTTCTCCTATAGTCAGGGGTAAACTGGTGATCTTTTTTTGGAAGGCTAACATAGTGCTTTATCTTTCACATTCACTGACCGAAGAGCAGAGCACATTGGATAGTTCAGCTACACGTATGTTAGACACAAAAATCATTGTAAAATTCAAATCCCGGCGGTATAGTGACATTCCTGCAGGGATGACGGCAAACTGAGAGCAGAGACACAGAAGTGGAACTTAAATTGAAAGCAGGAGAAGATATTCTGATTCGTCCCATTTCTTGTCCTGCACTGCTCACTGGTGATGTGTCACTAGAAGAATGGATTTTTATTTTGTTGAATCTGACCCACAGGAGTCCGTTGTTACAGTCCGCTCCCAGCATGCATGTTATGTGGCAAAGTGTAGGTCGGTGACAACAAAATGTCCTGACCTGACCTGTTAAATCAGTTAATGAAAAACCAACCCTATCAGTTTGAAGTCTCTAATTGTAAAACACTATCATGCCCGTCAGATGGTGATTTCTCAGTACTGTTACTGAGAATTAATTCCATTATCAATGAACTTGCTCATAGCGAAACTATTAGTTATTACATTTTATAAAATAGCAGAAAAAAGGCTGTCAAATTTTCCCTTCAATTACTGATCAACAGTTTAAAAATAAAAGAATCAGCGAAGAAGAAATTGTCGAATGGATGAATTATTGAACTGCAGATGAAGGTAATTTTGGTCACTGGTGTGTCAATGATTACTTCTAAGACAATATGAACTTGAAAATTGAATTTCATGGCAAACCACACTTTGGTGTTTCTGCTGAGGAGGACCATGCGATGTGATCAAAAGCTGCAGAACAGCTGCTAATTGGACCTAGTGGTGAGATAGTTGTGTTGCCTTCTTATTAATGTCAATTAATTAGGTTTCAAATACGCTGTATTTGTAGATCTTTTGTGTATCTTCTTAAATAACAAATGTGACAGAAGAGACAAAAGTATACTATCCATACAAAAGTGTTGTGACTGCACCCAACATGGAAATAGAGCTCTTGTGGTGATACACTATGTGTGACCTGTTACAGTAACAGATACCATACTTTTCCTTTATTTATTCATTCATATAACTTTTTTAATTGCATACTATGCTGTGATATTTTGTAATCCCAGTTTTGGCACACTACACTATGTGTTGTAGCCAACATTACTATGATACCCAGGAATGATGTCCTGATTTTCTTTCTTTCTCTAAATAAAGTCCATTTGCGGCCGTGGATTGCCCTCTGTTGGACATAAAGATAAACTACACTGTGATGTTGCAAAGTAATACAGAAGTCTCTATATTAATATAAGGTATTCCTTTCTTCTTTTAAATACAGTCCTGTGATTTTATTACGGATATAGAATGGTTTAAAAGTGCACTGTTTATTTTTGACAGGATGCCTGGGATGGCTGTAAACCACCATACACCAAACGTAAGGGACTATTTACACTAACTGTGTGAAATGTACAAAGTGAGTAGCCTATGCATTAAAAAAGATCATTAAAACCAAGAACAGACATCAGTTTCCCCACAGAATATTGTGGGATATGAGATGGGCTGGACATGATGAAATAATGGGACCAGTCTCCTCTACTCTGACAATGGCAAATAACAAGAAATGTGTTTATGGCTTTTCATTCTGTTTATTTTATTTTCAAGTTTCCCGTGTTATTTTATGAATACTACTAAAGTAAAGTAAAGTTTTATTCTTTTCAATTGTCAGGAGCAAAATTTATACATAATTAATAAAAAACAGTTTTTAGTCTGTGGCAGCAATATTAAATTGTGAATACAACAGCAAGTTCTAAATTATATTATGATGTCATAAGGGGCCAAGTTCTAAAAGTAGTGTCTGAACATAAGATCAAGCTATTCTATATTATCTGAAAATGGCGTACGCTGTGATTGGTGTTCGACTGTGTTCCCCCAGGACATATGGGACGGACCTGTCTGGACAACTCCTGGGACAAATCTGTCAATCGTAGGGCTAACCCCGCCCTAAAGCATGTACTGCTTTTACTCTGAATGGACCATAATGTGCAATATGCTGGATTGAAAAACACTTGAAACTAGAGATTAAGGCGATTCACTCGTGTTTAAAATGTTACTGAATAAATCAAGTGAGGAGTAGAGTCATTTTCTTATAGACTTTTGACCAATTTGACTTCGTTCTGCGTTCTTCGCTCCCTGAAGGCCTTTTGAAAGGACGCAAATTTAAGGCACTTTTCAGCTTGATGGCTGGGCGATAAGGAAAGGTTCAAGATACCCATAATTCAGTAACAGACATATACGGTTGTCATTTGTTGTGAGAATTACAAATGTCAAACGTCAGCAGTATTTTCAGTAAGGTCTAAAAAATGCATAAAACAATGTTACATAACTGACCGCGTTTAAGCTGTTTAGGTCAGTCTGCTGCTACTTGGTCACTTATGTCGGTGGTTTATTGCATACATGAGGGCTTTTCATACATTCCAGTTGTTTCTCAAATAAGACAGTAGAAGTCTGCCTGGTGTCTATGAAGTATGTCAAGGATACAGTGCAGCGCTGCTGTGTGAAGTAGAGACAACTTTACACCACATGGCGTTGCTCATACAATAGATCTGTAGTCAGGAATAGGAGCAGGTTCTCTTCACTTGGACTTTCTAGTCAGAATGTGTATCCCTTAAGCAGCATCATCAGAATGCAAAACATAAATCTAATGGATGAGACTTTCATATTGAACGCATTATGCATTGTAACCATTGAGACCTTCACTTCCCACATACATTTACAGTACTTTAATGGCATCTGTGGTGGACTTACCTTGAGTGGAAACCAACACTGTCCTCAGATTTATGTTAAATTGAATGTGACTTCCAGCTATATTTTTGGTTTTAGGAGAGAAAAAATCCCCAAAATAGCCCAAAATCGCAAAATACAAAGTTGCCTCAGAGGGCTTTACAGTCTGTACTGTATACATGCAACATCCTGTCATGAAACCCTCACATCGGGACAAGAAAAATTCTGGAAATGAAAAGCCCTTTCAATGGGTCGGTTTATGTTGACATTAATTTGATTAATATTTAAAATAGTAATAATGATGATGATAGCAGTAGCAAGTGTCACCAGGGCCACGGTAGGAGGCAGGAACAGGGTACAGATCCATGGAAACCTGGGAGGCGAGGCTTGACGGTGGACACTGATACGCGCTGGTTCTCTGACATGGGACAAGACAAACTGGCACAGGACAAAGGGAGACGCAGACAATATTTACACACACAGGGTAAGGACGGAAACAATCAGGGGCAGGGCTGACAATTGGACCGGCACACAGGGGGAAGGACCAAGATGACTGAAACAAGAGGAAGGTTCATTTTCAACATAAAACAGGAAATCAAGAGACAACATAGACACGAGACGACCTGATTAACACCGCTTCCTGGACATGACACCAGGGTCCAGACGAAACTACGATCTACGGAGACCTGTGAGGCGAGAAATATGGGGTCATATCAGTCTCAATAAGTCGTAAACAGAACGACTCTCAAATGCACACGGAACAATTCACAAATGTATTCGATTTACAAATGCACACAAAAGGATTTACAAATACATTTCAATGCACACATGAATACACACATGAAACACATTTTTTTTCAACATAAACCGAGGCAACGAGGGAGACGCAGATTGCTAACTTTTAGGTAGTGATTGGATCACTCAGTCTTTTAGAATTCTGGCCTCTCATTCTCTGCTCTAAGATTAGATTTCACATCTATGGACAGTTGTTGACGGAAGGAAGCTGAGAATCACTCAACTCAAAATTTCTGAGGGACAAATAAAGGAGGGAATCTTCAGTGTTCAGCATGTGTCCCTGCGTGCACGGGATGCTATTTTATACGACGATGATGAGAAAAGTTACGTTTTGGGAAACGAGGTTCCTCGCCAGAGGTGTCAAAAGTATTCACATTCATTACTCAAGGAGAAGTATAGATACCAGGGTTTAAAAAGACTTTTGTAGAAGTTGAAGTATTAACTGAAGCTTTTTACTTAAAAGTGTTAAAGTACTGGTTTCAAAACTACCTACTAAGTAGAAAAGTAAAAGTAATGTAAAGGGCAAAAAATGTCCATTGGGACAAACTGTTAATGTGTAACCTCGCTCAGAGAACATGTCAGTCCGTTACAATATGACCGGAATGTGCCTTCAGATCACGTGACCTGCTGTTCGGATGATGGAACATGGCGATATTCAGAGAGGCAACGCTAAAACAACAGAGGGACAAATGTATCGACCCGCATGATATATAACTTAAACAGATAAAACCAGAACCCACATGACAAGAGTCAGAGGACATACACACGTTGTTCCCATTGATGGTAGACTGCAGTGTCTCCCCCAGGTTTACTACTTCATGGGGGGAGGACGGTGGCTCTGAAGTGCAAATCACAACGGCAAAAAGGAAAACAACAGCTAATAGGAAAAGACAACATTAACTTCTTACGGAAAGGTTAGAGCCTTATAGCAGAAGACGGACCCTTCTGTTTGGACAACTTACACTTTGACTTATTTCTTTACTCAACCCTTATTTCAGATAACGGATGTTCAGATCCAAGTCAGCCAGAACACAGAGGCCCTGAAGGGAGCCCCGACAGAGGTGGATGACCTGCGCAGACAGCTTCAAACCATGGAGATCGAGCTGGAATCACAGAGGAGCATGGTGAGCAGAACTCAGTCAGCGCACACTTCATTTACCCCAAAGAACGCAGCCACGGCCTACTCAGCACTCTCACCTCAAGGCTCTCGAAACAACTGTGTTGTCACACGCTTCACACTCTAGTGACCCCTCACTATGAAGCTGTCTTCAGCGAGCCACGTTCACTGTGAATCCCTTTGATGCCTACTCTCCTTTCCCCTTGCTCATTCTGGCAGAAATCCTCCCTGGAGGGCACGCTGAGGGACACAGAGATGCGTTATAACATGGAGATCGAGGCACTCAACACCATTCTCCTGGGTCTGGAGGCCGAGCTCACACAGCTGCGCAACAGCATCCAGCAGCAGACGCAGGAGTACCAGAGCCTGCTCAACCTCAAGATGAAGCTGGAGGCTGAGATCGCCCAATACAGGCGGCTGCTGGACGGGGAAGACTTCTCGTACGTAGATGAATGAAAATGTTGATGACATGAGTTGTCAAACTAATGTGACCAAAGAATGAATGAATCTGTCTAAAGAAACCACTTGATAGTTTCGTTCTCAACGTTTTCCGTTCAGGCTCCAAGACGAGCATACAGCTGTTCCACAGGCCGATGAAATAAAACTGGATCAGAAGAAAACTTCATCATCCTTTTTTATTTTATCATGATGTATTTATTAGTTCATTTACTTACCCGGAGATACTTCACAAAAGCTAAAAACTGGAGAAAAAAGGGGGTTGTCGTGGCGCAGGGGTTAGAGAAGGTGTGCTGGGAAGCACAATGTTGTTGGTTCGATTCCAGGCTGCCCCATGTTCCATGTCAAAGTGTCCCTGAGCAAGACACCTAACCCTAATTGCTCCCTGGGCAAAAATGTGAAAAAGCGATGGGTTTAAAGTGTAATGTAAGTCGCTTTGGATAAAAGCGTCTGCTAAATGACTTGTAATGTAGTGAGAACTGTGATTTTTTGTTCATCCCACAGCAAAACTAATTGTTAAAAGATATTTAACATTCCAAAGTAATAAAAAATCTAATTAATCCAAAACGTGCTTTACATGTCATCAACTTCGGTTTACTTTGTGTCCATTTAAGTCGCCCTTTTAAACTGTGATGTTCCTACATATCAATAAAATCAATTTGAGAAATAGAATCACATGATGTGTGAACGTGATGTTGTTTGAAATTAAAATGAGTTACGTAAGACAAATCTGATTATGTGATCATGTCTTTGAAGCAAATACATTGTCAATGCAGAAGACAGTGACAGAAATGATTAAAACTTTTACTCCCAGTAGAACAAAATGTGTTAAACACTGAATCTTGGCAGGGGTCTAAACTCTAAAATGGGGGAAACCACTACAATTTGTACGTTAAGTGTTAAACATTTGTCAGGGATGTTTCACAGTACAGAAGCTAAAGACGTTTGTGCTTCCATTTCACTGGTATTTCAAACTCCTGACTATTTGGCCCCAGAGTTCATGTACGTTGAGGATTGCAGAGATGGATGGAACGATTGTTGGCGTAACAACTTTACATACATTCTCATGCTATCATAAAGCGCTGCAAACACATTTTATAGCCCTTATTTATTACTGCTGTTACTTACTGGAAAGTGTGTTCCAATGTAATCCAGTCAGTTAAATCAGGCCGCTTAAGTTCTATATTTCCCTTATTGTCAACAATTGTGACCTTTTTTTTTTTAAAGTCACTCAATACCTTCTAACCTCCCTAAAATGTCTATGATTCCAACACACAAGGCCAAAAAGCAAATGAGTCACTTTAATGCATCCTGTTATTCAGAGCCAAGATAAAAAAACGCTGGGCACTGTAGTAAACTTCAACACTATACTTTGATGGGGGAATATTTTAAGATGCAGATTAATTCATATTACGGCCTCATTGCGAAAATGTCTGAAACCTGCTCTGATGGCTTTACTGATTTTATAGAAACACCTTTTCCAACACACTAAAGTAATTAAATCCTGATTTAGGATGTGTTTGTGCCTGTCCTGAATTCAAAATAGCTTTTAATAACAGCAGAAGCACTGTTGTTCAGAAGGAACCCAACAGGAACCCCAAAAAATATAACGATTGAACAATATAATATAATGATTTTGCTATCTTTGACACGTACGTGAAACAAAGACAATCATCATATAGAAAAAACGGTCATTATAGTGATATGTCGATGTGTTTTGAGTAGTTTTTGCACAACAATAGAGCTCCATGGGACAGAGAAAGAAGACTTAAAAACTTAAAGATGAGAAACAGATAATATATTATATAATAGGATCATTTCTTGGTTAATCTTTTCATGGGACTAGCTGATAATAAGATTAGTATTTAGCATGGTCAGCTTCAACTCTTGTGCTGTTGATATCACGGTTAACAAAGATACAGCTTATTTACTGCACAAAATTGATAGGAAAATTTCAATTCACGATGGGTTATAGGGACAAAGTCTAAGATAAAGATACAAATGTAATATAGATAGAAAAGTGGCAGCACGGCATATGGTACATATAAGACCTGCAGCCTTGCCTCCGTCTTCTTAGCCACCAAAAGGACTTTAGTAAGTACAACACAACCATCACGGAGCTGAGGGCCAAGGTGAGTCAATCAGTAAATCTTTAATCATAAGTGTTTCGAATCACTAAGCAAAAGTATTCTACTTTATAGTACTGAAACCTTTAATTGATCAAGATTTAAATGCCATGTCCACTTGCTACCTCAAAATGGTTAAATGATGTTTGAGCAAAATCCTTTCCAGTTTTATTATTAAAGTTGTATTATCATACATGGTGGGTTGGTCAATGAGAGTTTATAAATCTCTTGACTTGTTTTGCAACATTTATTACATCAAAGCACACTCTTATCTTGACCTCTGTGGTCGAGATATGAGCGATAACCCCCCTTGTCGTTTTATGGCTTCAAAGATATGTAATATTCATATAATGAAAGTTATGGTTCATGGGCCCATTAAAAGGTATTTTGGGAGTGCGTCACTGCAGTTTTTGTTGTAATTTTACAGATCAATTCATTTAATTTCAATTTAATTTCTTGCAGATATTTGACATGAACAAGGGCAATGCCAATCTAGCTCTTTCCTGCGACAACTCATCGCTGGCTTCCAATGACTTCAGAATGAGGTGAGTGTTCCATGTTTCCATCCAAAATCAAACAAGCTTTTTATCCAGCATAAACGCATCTGATGTGCGGCTTGATTTGTCAGATCGGAGTTCGAGATGTCCATGCGTCAGACAGTGGAGGCCGATGTGGCCAGACTGAGGAAGATTCTTGACGACAACAAAGTTATTTGCCTGAACTTGGAGAGCGACATTGAGTCTCTGAAGGAAGAGTTGATCATCCTGACGAAGACCCACAAGATGGTGAGGGACACTGGTCAAAGATGATTTGTGTAGCCGACCACTGCATTTGGCCTAATCAACCTAAATGATGGAAACACAATTCAAGGAGAAAATAATCCCAATACTAGCCCATAATTATTTAAAGTTATGGCAATCAGCCTTGCCCTTTAAGCTCCTTGTATTGGATAACCCACTAGGCAGTTTCAGGAAATCCCTCCCTGACTATTTCCCCCCTCAACAGGATGTTGAGGAATTGTGTGCCCAGATCACCAAGGTCGGCGTCCGTGTGGATGTTGACGCAGGACCTGGCCAAGATTGTGGAGGAGATGAGGGCCAAGTATGAGAAGATAGTCCTGAAGAACCAGGAGGATCTTAAAATATGGCATGATTCTCAGGTAATTTGTCAATGCCAAGATTTTGTGGTTAACAAACTACTTTTGTCAAGTACCTATCCTATATACTATTAGTATTTTATTTTCTGTCCAGGTCACAGAAGTGCAGGTCCAAGTGACTGAGAGTTCAACGGCTCTGAAGGAAGCCAACACTATGTTGTCAGATACTAAGAGGAAGTATCAAGCACTGGACATTGAAAAACAGGCCGAGCTTAGTATGGTAAGAACATTTGTGCCCAGTGATGAGTCACAGACGTGACTCGTATCAATCTTTTCAAACAACTCTCGAGACCGTTTCCCTACTCCACTACCTCTTTGCCTCCTAACAGAAAAAATCCCTGAAGGCCACAATGCGCGACATTGAAATGCGCCACAACACAGAGATGGAGAAGTACAACGTGATCATCCTGAGGCTGCAGGAGGAGCTCACTCACATCCGCACCGACATCCAGCACAGCACATGGGAGTACGAGAGCCTGCTCAACATCAAGGTGAAACTGGAGGAAGAGATCGCTGAGTACAGGAGGCTGCTGGGCGGCGAGGCAGACTTTACGTGAGTATGAGTTCCTTGGTTGACAGATAATACAGCTTATGTCCTCTCACGGAGGCAAATATATATTCAAATTAGCTTCATATATATGCAAAGCAACTCAGATATGGAAATTAGCAGTTCATCGGACCCATTGATTAGACCCACGGCTCTAATTTTAAATGCTAAATTTCATCTGGATATACCAGATACATTAAGGAGCAGGTATATATTTGATGGCAAAATAGTGTCATGAGTTCTATAATTACAAGAACTATGTTTAGTTTTTTACAGATAAACAACTTTGGATTGATTTTGTTTTTTTGTTCACAGTCTACAGCAGGTAGTTGATTCAAAGACGATGCAGACCAGAGTGCTGATGGTCACTCAGACTCTGGTGAATGGCGTAGTGGTGTCGGAGAGCAAAGATGTCAAAACCAGTGAAATTGTTTCTCTGTAACAACTGACTTGCAGAAGACCACTTTTTTTAAGTACTATTCTCCCCGGCTGTTTTTGGGCACATATTTGTATTTTCATTTGCTTCTTTGTCGAGAGTTGGATGTGAACATTAATACCTCTTTCATTTCTGAATGTTAGATATGAAGCATATGAAGAACAGCCGGCAGATAATTTAGCTTAGCATTGAGACTAGAAACAGTTGACCTGGTCCATCCAATAGTAACACTATCAAACCCTAAAAAAGAGCAAATAATAACCTGTTTCTCATTTGGTTGTTTGTTTGTTTGTTTTTCAAGTGTTCTTAAATTATTTCCAAATATAATATATTAAAAGTAATATATCATTAAGATGTATATTATCTGGTAAATGAATCACAGAAATCTAAACGCTAATAATTGTGATATCCCTCTACAGTTCATTGACTTCCTGCAGTCGCCCCTACTGCATTAAACACTGGGAGACAAACACAAACGTAATTTTCTGAGTCTGAGGCCAATTGCCTCCACCTGGCCCCGCTCCCTGAGCCACTCCCCCTCTCCCCCCTCTGCTATCAAGCCAAACCACGCACGCCACCACATACCCCACCGCCCGACTTGGGATGGGGAGCCCTGCGGCCGAACCTACTCTACCCCCTCCCCCTCCCCCCTCCCTCAAGAGGGCGGGAGAGGAAGTCTGCCACGACCATCTGCGCCCCCAGCCTATATACCACCTTGAAGTTAAAAGGCTGCAGAGCCAGATACCACCGAGTGATTCGGGCGTTGGTATCCTTCATGCGATGGAGCCATCCGAACAGAGGGTGAATAAGCGTCCCAGGAGGTAGTAGCGCAGGTAGTCCACCGCCCACCGGATGGCCAGGCACTCCTTCTCCGCTGTGAACTGTCTGTAATACCCCGCCAGTCCCAAAAACCGCCTGACTTCTTTTTTCGTCTTGGGCCGGGGGCAGGCCGCAATCGCCGCCGTCCTATTCACCTGAGGGCACACCTGCCCGCCCCCCAAGTGGTACCCCAGATACCGTACCTCCCTCCGTCCAAATGCACACTTCCCTGGGTTGGAGGTGGGCCCAGCCTGTCTCAGGGACTCGAGCACTGTGCCCACTCGCCGCATGTGTCCCGTCCAGGTGTTGCTGTGTATAATGACATCATCAAAGTAGGCGGCAGCATATGCAGCATGCGGACGCAGCACCCGATCCCTGAGACGTTGGAACGTGGCCGGGGCACCGAACGAGCTGAAGGGAAGCGTGGTAAATTGGTAGAACCTATGGTTACGGAGTGGAGAAAGCAGTCTGATTCCGCGGACACCCGCAAAACAGACTCCGTTTCCCTTCAGGCTTTCATGAGGTTTAGGTAGTATATTTGCGTAGCTCCGCCCCTGTCAGACCGCACCACCTCATAGTCGACATCCCTCACCTGCCGTCTGACCTCAAAGGGCCCTTGCCACTTAGCCAGGAGTTTGGAGTTGGAAGAAGGAAGTAATACAAGTACCTTTTCTCCCGGTGTGAATTGTCGCAGCCTGGCTCCTCTGTCGTCCAGCCATTGTTGCCCGTTCCTGGGCCGGGAGCAAATTCTCACGTGACATCCTACCCAGTGTGTGGAGCTTTGCTCGCAGGTCCAGGACGTACTGGATCTCGTTCTGCGCCTCTCCAGTCAGGAGAGGCAAATGTCAGACCGGCCACTACCCCGCCGGCCAGCCACATGCCTCCACCATCGCCTCGAAGGACGAGCCAAACCGTACCCGCAACCATAACTGGTTTTCCAAATGCATCTGACAACTAATAAAAGTTGCCTAATTTATATCAGTTTCCCAACGGCTGATGTGTAAAGTGTATTAGGTAACCGCGGAAACAAAACAGTCGCTAGCTGCAGTCAGTTGGAGAGAACTTTTTGCATCGGAAGTAAAACAAACAATGGTGCGACATACAGCAGAGAACTATGCATAGGAATTACTCCACGTGTCAAACAGAAGGGGGGTGAGTGTCAAACGGACCACTTGAAACACTGCTATGTTAAGATAGCTACTAGGCTAAGCTAGCTGCCAGGCTACTTCTATCCCAACATCTAACTTTTCCTTGTGCGGCACACAGGGAACGTTGTCTGCAGAGAACCACCGCTGTGTCCCTAAAAGACCGTGGTTTGAAAACGTCTAAATGTGAGGAGATTGTTGGCACTTCAAACCGTTAAATTATGGAGAGTTGAGAGCAAAGTGCATAAGGACAGCAGGAAGAGTCGCTAGATCAACATGTTCCACCCGGAGGAATTCTGTCTCCAAGATGATCAAATCTGTGTAGTTTTGTGTTTAAAATAACGTGAACAATTAAACAACAGTGTCTAAAATACACAGTTTTTAAAGTGATTACTTTTAAGATTTAGTCTTCAGAAGAAAAACAAACATTCATTATAAACAACATTGTAACAACAAAAACAAAATTCATTAATCACCATTAATCGAGATTAATAAATTTCAAAATGTGCGTTTGATTAGTTAATTTTTTCTATTGACTTTTTTCTATTGATATCTATTGTTTATCAGCAGCTATTAAGACTATAGAGTTTAAACTGGAGTAGAGGCACAAATTCCAAACTGAGTCACAGGCCACCGTTTCATTTTACGGGCTGAGCATAGATAAAACATGAATTAACTCTCACTCTCTCTGTCACACCCATATGTCAAGTTGGGTTTTTGTCCTGTCTCCATGTTTGTTTTGTGACTTCCTGTTTTATTTTGGAAATTAACTCTCCCCTCGTCTAAGGTTCCTTGCCCTTCCTCATGTGTCACCAGTCTGATTGATTCCTGATTGTGTCCACCTGATCCCACACTTCCCTCATGTGTACTTATAGTCTGCGTCTCCCCTTGTCCTGTGCCAGTGTGTCATGTCCTTTCGCCTTGCACACCCGCCTTGTGAAAGTAAGTAAGGTCATAGTTATCCCAAAGCCTGGTTGTGGACTCCTTAGTTGGCTTTGTGCCGTTTATCGCTCCACATTTTTGGGGATTGATTGTTTTGTTATTTCCTCTGTAAGACAGATTTTTGGTTTTGCATTTGTTTACCAGTCAGCTATTTGTTTTGCCAGAGCATTTCCTTGTTCATCCCTCTTCGGAGAAGTTTTTGTTCCCAGGGCCTTCCTTGCGTTTTTTGTTGGAAAACAAAAGCATCAGCTGAACCTCAACTCTGCGTCCGAGTCCTCCTCAAGAGCTCTCCCCGTGACAGCACATAAACACACATTCCTTTTGTTCCCCTCTACTGCAAATATCTGTTTGGTGTGTCAGAGTGACATGTGTCATGAGTCAGACCAGTGCTCCCAACTTGACTTGTCTATGAGGGAGGACGCAAGGCCTCAAAACATACACATACAAGCATTTCAAAGGCACGCTGTTACGTTCGTACAGCACCCCGTGAGGGGAGGGGAACATACACCGCGCTGCCAAGAACCCCAGACGGCCAGAGACCGGGTGTGGGCGCAAGTAATCACACCAACATCGATGGGTTTCGTTTAAACAGGCTAGCACGTGCCAGTTTATTAATAATAATAATAATAATAATAATAATAATAATAATAATAAACAATAGAGGGAAATGGGAGGACGGCTGAGCTGATCCAAAACAAAGAAATTAGCAAAACCCCACCCCTTACCTGTCCCAACGTCCTACACAAAACACTTATTTACTCTGGCGCTCGAGCAAGGCGCCCTAACCAAAAATACAGGGGGTGGATCGCTCAGATCTAACCTGGTGTGTATAACAGGAGATATCCCTACGGGTGATGTATGCCCAGGGCGTCTTTCCTAACACTCCCAAGTGCTTTCCGTTCTCCCTGGGAAGGACACACGAAATACAAATGATTAACACTTGCAATGCTCCAAAACACTCCACCATGTACAACCAATTTCACATTTGCACCCCAAACACAACCTTACACCCTGCCTGAGAGAGATGGACTGAACAACCAGAAACACATAAATACAGCTGATGGGACGATGCGATTGGAGGATGGGAAAACAGGAACCAGCTGTAGGAGATCACGGGAGGGCGGATGAGTAATGAAGACAATTAGCTCCACCTGAGGAGGGTTATCACACACACAGAACACAGACAAGACCGGGGGTCGTAACACACGCACAGGCTTCCTTTTCACAGCCTGAGGTAATATACAAAAGGCCAGTGTAACATAATCTTGACGCAGCGTTGGCTTGCTTCACCGTGTGAATCTTAGTAAATGAGTTAGAGAGAGGAACTAAACTGTACTGGAACATCTCCTGAAATGCAATGAAATAGGAGTATTTAAAGGGGAATAAGGAGAAACGTGTAGTTGTCAACTTTTTTGTTATATTTTACTACTTCTACTGTTACAGAAAGACTAATATATCTTCCCAGAGATAGGAAGTGTCCGGTGTTTAGGGGTAGGCCGGGTCTTGGCATTATTGAGTGGTTGAAGAGGTCCAGTCTTGTATACAGTATGTGTTAAGCATCTGTCCCCAGCTGAACAGGCACATTTATGACCATTGGGAGGGAGAGGCTAGAAAAGAGATTAAGTATGGCTCTCGAGAGGAAAAGGAAGATTCTTACCATGTTGTAGGAATTGTATGGTTGTACTAGGTCATATGTGTCTTTCAGTGACGTGCGGTGATGTCAGTAAGAGGGTTTGGCACTTAGTTCTGAAAGTCTGATTACCTGATGTGTTGTTTAGGCTAAACACATCAAAACAGTTAACGTTACACACAAGCGTGGCACTTGGACATACACACAAGAGATCTGATTTCCAATCAGGACGACATATCACTATTACTATCTCTCGCGGGCTCGGGGGTGCACCCCACGCCAGCCTGATCTCCAAAACCTGTTCGTTGGTATAAAAAATGTATACGAAAATCTTGAACATACAAATTCGTAGTGATACATCCGAAATAAATACGGACTGCAACTGATGACGTCGCCCTATTAAAGGTGAATGTGGACCTGCACCCCGGAAACACACTTTGTGAAGTCTAACGATGTAAAATAAACGTGTTATGATTGCATTTTTAACGAGAA